TCTGGTTTTATGTGGAGGTCCTTGATCCACTTGAACTTGAGCTTTGTACAGGGATAAGAATGAATCAATTTGCATTCTTCTACATGGTGACCACTAGTTGAACCAGCACCATTTGTTGAAAATGGTGTCTTTTTTTCCCACTGGATGGCTTTATCTCCTCTGTCAAATTTCAAGTGACGATACGTGTGTGGGTTCATTTCTGTGTCTTCAATTCTATTCCGTTGATATACATGTCTGTCACTGTACCAATACCATGCAGTTTTCTATCACTTTTGCTCTGTAGTACAGCTTGAGATCAGGGATGGTGATTCCCCTAGAGCTTCTTTTAATGGTGAGAATAGTTTTCATTATCCTGTTTTTTGTTGTTGTTTTCTGTTTTGTTTTGCTTTGTTACTCCAAGTGAAGTCAAGAATTGTTCTTTCTAACTCTATAAAGAATTGAGTTGGAATTTTGATGGGGATTACATTGAATCTGTTGATTCCTTTCCTCAAGATGGCCATCATTTTTACTATATTAATCCTTCTAAACCATGAGCATGGGAGACCTTTCCATCTTCTGAGGTCTTCTTCAATTTCTTCAGAGACTTGAAGTTCTTGTCATACAGACCTTTCACTTGTTTGTTTAGAGTCAAACCAAATATTTTATATTGTTTGTGACTATGGTAAAGGGTGTCATTTTCATAATTTCTTTCTCAGCCCATTTATCCTTTGATTATAGGAAGGCTACTGATTTGTTTGAGTGGATTTTATATCAGACACTTTGCTGAAGTTGTTTATCAGCTGTAGGAGTTCTCTGATGGAATTTTTGGGTTCACTTAAGTATACTATCATATCCTCTGTAAATAGGGATATTTTGACTTCGTCCTTTCCAAGTTATATCCATTTGACCTCCTTTTGTTGTCTACTTGCTCTACCAAGAACTTTAAGGACTATATTGAACAGACAGGGAATTAAGGACTATATTGCCAGCCTTGTCTAGTCCCTGATTTTAGCTGGACTGCTTCAAGTTTCTCTCCATTTAGTTTGATGTTGGCTACTGGTTTGCTGTATATTGCTGTATTGCTTTTACTATATTTAGGCATGAGCCTTAAATTCCTGATCTTTACAGGACAGGATGTTGAATTTTATCAAATGCTTTTTTTTAGAATCTAATGAAATGATCATATAGTTTTTCTCTTTTGAGTTTGTTTACATAGTGAATTACATTAATGGATTTCCATATATTGTACCATCCATGCATCCCTGGATGAAGCCTACTTGATCATGGTGAATGATCCTTTTGATGTGTTCTTGAATTCAATCTGAGAGAATTTTATTGAGTATTTTTGCATTGATGTTCATAAGGGAAATTGCTCTGAAGTTCTCTTTCTTTTTTGGGTCTTTGTGTGGTGTTGGTATCAGTGTAACTGTGGCTTAATAGAAAAAATTGGGTAGTGTTCTTTCTTTATGTATTTTGTGGAATAGTTTGAAGACTATTGGTATTAGGTCTTTGATGGTCTGATAGAGTTCTGCACTAAACCCATCTGTTCCTGGACTTTTTTTGGTTGGGAGACTTTTAATAATGTCTTCTATTTTTTTAGGGGTTATGGGACTGTTTAGATGGTTAATCTGATCCTGATTTAACTTTGTTATTTGGTTTCTGTCTGGAAAATTGGACATTTAATCCAAATTTTCCAGTTTTGTTGAGTATAGGCTTTTGTAGTAGAATCTGATGATTTTTTTTTAATTTCCTCAGATTCTGTTGTTATATTTCCAGCCCTTTACTCTGAGGTAGTGTCTGTCTTTGACACTAAATGTGTTTCCTGTATGCAACAAAAATTTGATTCCTGTTTACATATCCAGTCTGTTAATCTATATCTTTTTATTGGGGAATTGAATCTACTGATATTAAGAGATACTAAAGAATAGTGATTGTTGTTTCCTGTTATTTTTGTTGTTAGAAGTTGAATTATATCTGTGTGACTATCTTCTTTAGGATTTGTTGAAAGAAGATTACTTTCTAGCTTTTCAATGGTGTTTCCCTCCTTGTGATAGAATTTTCCGTCTATTATCCCTTTCAGGGCTGTATTTGTGGGAAGATATTGTGTAAATTTGCTTTTGTTATGGAATATCTTGTTTTCTCTGTCTGTGGTAATTGAGATTTTTGCTGGTTATAGTAGCCTGGGCTGGCATTTCTATTCTCTTAGGGTCTGTATGACCACTGCCCAGGATCATCTGGCTTTTAAAGTCTCTGGTGAGAAATCTGGTGCAATTTTGGTAGGTTTTCCTTTATATACTACTTGACCTTTTTCTCTTACTGCCTTTAATTTTCTTTCTTGATTTGTGCATTTTGTGTTTTGACTATTATGTGACTGGAGGAATTTCTTTTCTGGTACAGTCTATTTTGAGTTCTGTAAGCCTCTTTTATGTTTATGGGCATCTCTTTCTTTAAGTTGGAAAGTTTTCTTCTATAATTTTGTTGAAGATATTTACTGACCCTTTATGTTGGGAATCGTCACACTCTTCTATACCTATTATCCTTAGGTTTAGGATTCTCATTGTGTCCTGAATTTTCTGATTGTTTTTGGTTAGAAGCTTTTTGCATTTTCCATTTTATTTGACTGTAATGTCAATGGCTTGTATGGTATCTTCTACACCTGAGCGTCTCTCTTCTATCTCTTGTATTCTGTTGGTGATGCTAGCATTTATGACTTATGATCTCCTTTCTATGTTTTCTATCTCCAGGGTTGTCACTCTTTGTGTTTTCTTTATTGTTTCCATTTCCATTTTTAGAACCTGAATGATTTTGTTCAATTCCTTCACCTGTTTGTTTATGTTCTCTTCTAATTCTTAATGGATTTTTCTGTTTCCTCTTTAAGGGCTTCTAACTGTTTACCTGTGTTCTCCTGTGTTTCTTTAAGGGAGTTATTTATGTCTTTCTCAAAGTCCTCTATCATCATCATGAGATGTGATTTTAAATCAGAGTCTTGTTTTTCTGATGTGTTGGGTTATCCAGGATGCACTTTGGTGGGAGAACTTGGTTCTGATGATGTTAAGTAGCCTTGGTTTTTGTTGCTTATGTTCTTGTCTTTGCCTCTAGGCATCTGGATATCTCTGGTGTTAGCTGGTCTTGCTGCCTCTGACTGTGACTTGTCCCTCCTGTAAGCCTGTGTGTCAGTACTCCTTGGAGATCAGTTCTCTCAAGGAGAAATTTGGGTATGGAGATGTATGGCAAAGGGTCAGCTCTGGAGCACAGATGGAACCCAGAAGGCTTCTGTCCCTGGCTGTTCCTTGGTTCCTTTGTTCTGATGGCTCTCAACAGGTTCCTCTTGGGCCAGGAATTTGAGCAGAAGTGGTTGTCTTACCTGTGTTCACAGGTGTGTAGGCACTCCTGGGAGACCAGTTTTCTTCTGGTGGTATTTGGTATGAAGAGCTGTGGCACAGGATAAGCCCCGAGTGCTGTGACCACTAAATAAAAATTAAAAAAAAAAAACAAAGCTTTATTCAAAAAAGAAGACTATAGTTTAAAAGTAAATTTTGCTATGCAATGATGACAGTTTTTATAGTCAATGATGTGCAAACAAATAACTTACAATTCTTAAAATTTTTATGGTTATTCTTATCTTCTTTGTCTTCTATAGTAATTTTATTATATTGGAAGCTCTGAGAGTTGAACCCAGAGTCTCATACATCAAAGAAGAGCACTTTGCCACAGAACTACAGAATTTTGCTTTTTATTTGACTTTTATATTAGTTAGAGACATTTCAGAATAATGGTATTTGTGATCCTTATTTCATGGTAGTACAGAGGATGTGATGCCATTCTATGCAGAGAAAAGTCACGCTCATATTACTGTTTTACTTGAAGAAGATCATGATATATATATATTCATTCTTCTTCTTTACTATATAGAATTTATTTTAAATTTTAATACTTTCTCTCCTAAAAGCAATGGGGTTGTTAAAACCTATTCTTTATATTTTATTAATTTTTTTATCATTACAAAAACTCTTCTGAAAAATGTTTTCATGGTATATATGCTCTATAAACATAAAATACTTTTTCAAGTGAAAGAGGAGTTACTATTTTCTTCACCAATTCCACTTGTTAGTATGAGTAAAAAAAAAAAATATAGTGGTTTTGTCTGGTGCTGTTTATATACTAATGATAAATACTGGCTCCTCAAGATATTATGACCCACAATTAGGAGACAATGTCATACACCAAATAATGCTATACAAACATTGCTCTCCAATTTAACTGGTCAGTAAATGGTTATCTCCTGTGATTGGACAGTAGAGAGAGAAAGGTAGAACTTGAGAATCCAGTTAAGGGTTTGCAAATAGAAGGAGAGAAATATAAAAATAAAACAGGGTGAATGAGGCTCCTATGACAATAGAATATGAATCCTTGTTGAGTCTGAGTTCAGACTTTCACATCAATTTTAGTTTATATTAATTTATCTACTCATGATTAGGCATGCATCTGAAAGTTAGGAACATGTGCCATTTTGCTCTTAAAAATATAACTTTTATTAAAAGATCAATTTATATAGTTTAAAATAATATATAACGGTTTCATGTTGACAGTATGTCCCAGTGATGGTTACCCTTTGTAGTCCATATTACTGTGAGTGTGTGAAATTCACCTGAGTGGAGAAGACCCAATTTGAATCTAGATCATGTCATCTTATAGGAGGTTACAGAGTCTTAATGAATATTACCCCAACTTAAAAATGGGAAGCAATAAACAGCTTGGAACTTTAGTTCCAGTGGATCCAACATACTCTTCTTGCATCTGTAGGCAACAAGCATGAATTTTGTTCCTATATATACATCCTGGCACACACACACACACACACACACACACACACACACACACACAAAACTAAAATTTAAAAATATTATCAATAATTCAGGTATGGAGACATGGCTTGGTGCTTGAAAGCACTTACTGCTCTTACATAGGTACCAGGTTTTATTTTCACCATGCTGGGGTGGCTCAAATATATATATAACTCATTATGACCCATAACTCATTATGTAAGTCACATTTTTCTTGTGACTGGGGCCTGACACTCTTGCTGGAGTCAAGATGTTTAGAAGCACATGTACAAGCCAACTGACTGAGCATGAAGGACCAATGTACTTGATGGCTCTGTGTTTAAGCATCATCCACCTGGAGTTTCTGGAGCTAATTGTGATTGCTTGGAAGCAACTCAGTAGGCACATAGCATACAGGGACATCCCCCTTGTTATTCTGTATATATATACTATCAATTTACATCCAATGTCATCCAGGAAATCTTTAAGTCCATAATCTGCTAGTGTCTGTGGAATACCTCTTGAGATGATAGACAAGCAGTTGGCAAATGTCAAGTGCTCTATAATTAGGTCTTTGGGCATCAAATTCTTCCCAGAGACCATCAAAATCACATAATAAAATAGTATTGAAGAATTGCCAAGCATTCCCACTGTAATCTGGGAGAAGACGAAAATTCCCATTGCAACATTTTTTTTTTTTTTTTTTTTGGTTTTTCGAGACAGGGTTTCTCTGTATAGCCCTGGCTGTCCTGGAACTCACTCTGTAGACCAGGCTGGCCTCGAACTCAGAAATCCGCCTGCCTCTGCCTCCCAAGTGCTGGGATTAAAGGCGTGCGCCACCACCGCCCGGCTCCATTGCAACATTTTGAGAAGCCATTTTCATACCTATGAGAAAAGTAAATACATTTGTCATGGCCACAGAATGATAAAAACAAATTATCAGTATGCATTTATAACAATATTAGCAAAAATAATATAAACATCACATTATTGCATTTATCTAGATATCCTATTAAAAAAGAACATCCAAAGCTATGCTATTTATTAAAGTAAATATTCCTTATTTAAATGGAAGGTTTTGGATATGTTTCCTGAAGAATAAAGTATCACTGGACAAGATGTTACATGACCTTGAATATAGCAATCATGAGATAGACACAAGCAGACATTTGGACTTAAGGCTAACCTGGTTTACAAAGTTATTTCCAGGACATTCAGAGCTAAATAAAGTGAAACTATTTCTTCAAAAGCTCATACAAATGATTAGTGTTCTCACTGCTTTTGACTAAGCACAAAGATTTGCGGCCAGTTTTGAAAGAAAGAATTTTAGAAACCTGCCATTATTTCTGAAATTTCTTAAGATTTGGTCTGTCTCTACTCAAATTCGAAATAATGTACCCCAAGATCTGGTTATTTTCAGGCACTACAGAATCTTCTTCTACACCTAGTAATGCTGTGTGACCTTGCTTCTTAATTTAAAACTCTTAGTTGAATAAAGATGCTGACAGCTTACATACAACTGGGCAAAATAAAGGTAGGTAGGTGAAGTTTTGGTTCCAAGAGTTAGGTCCTGAGGAAGAACATACGGGAATCGAGAGAAGGTGAACAGAAGAGAAAACGCCATTGGTTAAATGATCTTGAGAATTGACCGTGAGGTCTGGTCAGTATGAGTAAGAATGGCTCAGAAGAAATATGGCATTTCGTATCTCAGTGTTATTGGCAGGGAAGTAGACATACAGCATAGAAGGTAGATATTTGCCCAGCTCAACTGTTGATTAAGGCATATTATAAATATAAAAGTTTTGTGTCTTTTATATGGAAACTGAATTGTCAAATGTGCAGTAGAAACTCTTGATTGAGATTAACAATTTGATTCAATAGATATTTTAAAAAAATAGAAGTCAAAACTCATCAAGAAAAACAATAGAACATACTTGAAAATACAGTTTGGAATGAGTGGATAAATATTCGGATTATATAAGGCATACTTTATTTTAATATTTATTTGGTTTTTAATTATGTATGTTCTAGGAGTGGTTGCATGTGAGTGTGAGTGCCAACAGGCACCAGATTGCTGAGATTTGCTACAGCTGGGTTTCAGCCACAGATATGTAGTAAATGCTTTTTATAAGTGTTCAACATATTTAGCTTTGGGGAAAATAAATATTACAAATACTTTGAGACTCCATTACACACTATAAAATCATTGTCACCAAGAGACAATAACAATGATCCTGGTATGCCGAAATGTAATCATCATTCTTTACTGGTGGGAGGGCACAGTTCTACATGTACATGTATTATCGAAATAAGTACAAAGATTTATCAAGAAATTAAAAATAGAATTACCATATAACACAGCTATATGGGCTGTGTACAATAGAATAGATAGGACATAACTCCTATTTATTCTGGGCATACATGAACGGGACTTGATGTCCTACCACTTTGATGCTTACATAGCCACATAAGCTGCTGCTTTATTCACAATAGCAAAGAAATGATATCCATCCTAGATGTTCATCATCAGATAATGCAAGTATGGAATCTCTACATAGTAGAATTATGTCCAACTGTAAAAAAAATAAAATCATGAAATATTCAGGAACTAGATGGAATTGTAATCAATTCAGCAAGGTGGCAGACTTAGAAAAGCAAAAGCCACCTGTTGTTTGTCATAGTGGATATGTCCATATGAATGTAAGTGGAAAGAAAGTGTTTATAGGCTATGAAACCTGGAAGGAGATCAAAAATCACAGACTAAAGACATGTTGAGCAATCAAGGGAAGATAATAAATAGAGTATATGTGGCAAAAAAAATATTAGTAGGGTTTAAAAGTGAAAGGAGTTGTTGGGCGATTGAGAAAAAATCTAGAAGAGAAATAAAAATAAAATTTTTAGAAACATTATAGCGAAATCCAAAATTAGGTATGCTAAGTAAGATTTTAAAAGAACACCCCTCCCAAAAAAAGAAAAAAAAAGATTATGGTTTTATGGTAATTTTTTCGCATTGGACATGTCAAATTGCTATGACCGGTTATACTGCTCTATGATTCTGTCAAGCTGTTGTAACTAAAGTGATCAACTACCAAAATCTGCAAACTAAAAGAAGGGCCAGCAGGCCTGCTCAGCTGGTGAAAGTGCTCTGTGAAAACCGTATGACCAGAGTTCAACATGGGACCCACAAAGTGAAAGGAGAGAAACAACTCTCAAAATATATCTTCTAAACTCCATACATATATGCTGTCTTACATTCATATGCCCTTCCTCAAAATAAATGAGAAATAAAAATTTGTATGACATTAAAATAATGATTGACAGGAAGCAAGTAAAAGGTGGTGTATGTTTATTTCATGGGCCCAGAGAATTGGGTTTATATTGAAATGTTCTGGAGATTATCTGCAGAACAATAGGATCCTGTTTCTTATGAGTGAACTAAGCAATCAAAATGGTTAAAAGCACAAACATTTGTAGGTTGGCTTTGGTTTTAACTATCAATTAGGACTTTGTGGTTAATAAATGAGAAGTTTTTGCTCTGTTGCATGATATAGGCCTACAATGATGACAGTCAACTAAACATGACACTGACTTAGGCTCATCGGTTTGTGATATAAAATTAGGGTCGAAATTAGTTTTCATTTTTGTGTGTAAGGCAGATTTAGAAACGTATTAGATAAGAGTATGATATGGCAGAGTTTTGCTTTTGTTTTGGGTTCCACTTATTAAGAACACTCCCTGACATCAGGCAGACATACAATAGTGATCTTGACATTGGAATAGAGAAAGCCAACACCTCAAGGAAACTGAATCTGCATTTTCTTTCAAATAACAAGTAAAATGGGATTCTACATCAACAAATCTAAGGCTTTATTAAGTGAAACATAGAAAGGGACATCTGTCATATTTAAGAATAGGTGAAGCACCAAGAAATTGAACATATTCCAACTATTCATTCAATAATTTCTTGTAATTCTTAGAACTTTTAATTTTTATTCTCAACCTTTCATAAAATTCATTTTTCCTCATAGAAGAGCACCCTATAGTTCTATCATTGATAATAGAATTTTAATTACTGGTAACAATATTCTATATAATCCACCCCTATATTTTAACACTTGAGATATAAAAAATAAAATGTTGCATTTTTCAGAAGCATATAAATATTACACATATTTACAGAAGGACTTGTATAGTAAAACACTTCAAGCTAATTAGCATAAGATGGGGATGAAGATCATGGTTTGTCTAACCTTCAAGTCCCTGTGTCTGAAACACAGGACCATCATTAAACAACAATGAAGATTCCAAAGAAGTATTTTTTTTAAAAAACTAAAAGTAGGGGACCATATCTAACCTCTGGATATGGTCTCTACTACCTCTTTCTCGCCTTTTTTGGGCGATTCAGCTAGTGCCATCCCTGTTGGGTCCTGGGAGTCTCTTGCTTTCCTGGCATCTGGGACTTTTTAGTGACTACCCTCGGTTCCCCAACCCCCACAGCTACACACCTCCATTCAATTTCCTGACCCTCTGTATCCAACAGTTAGTCACAGCCCCCGATTGAGGGATGAGGCCACCTACCCATCTCAAAAATATTAACAAAGAATTGTTCCTATCTAAAGAAAACGCAGGGAAAAAGAGTAGAGCAGAGAATTCAGGAAAGGCCATTCAGAGACTGTCCACCTAGGGATCCCAGACAGTATTGCTTGTGCCAAGTATCTCTTGCTAACAGAATCCTGGTATGTCTGTCCCCTGAGAGGCTCTGCCAGAGCCTGACTAATACATATGTGGATGCTAACAGCTAAGCAAGGGACTGAGCATGAGGAGTGGAATGGAGGAGTTAAGAGAAGGATTGAAAAAAAACTGAAGGAGTTTGCAACCTTATAGGAAGAACCACATTATCAATGAACCAGGCCACACTGCCCCAGAGTTCCCAGGGATAACACCACCAACTAAAGTACACATGGGGGGAACCATGGCTCCAGCTCCTATGTAGCCGAGGACTGCCTTTTCTGGCATCAATGGGAAAGTAGGCCTTTGGTCTTGTGGTGAATTGAAGCCCCAGCGTAGGGGAATGCTATGGTGGTAAGGTGGGAGTTGGTAGGTAAACTCCCTCATAGAAGCAGGGGCAGGGCTATTAAAATAGGGAGGTTTCAAAGGGGAAATCAGAAAGGGAGATAACATTTGAAATGTAAATAAATAAAATAAGCAATAAAAAATTGAATATAAAAATAATTGAAACTAGGAAGACACATGCAAAAATGATACAGATAGGGTAAGACAGATGAAGACAAAAATGGAAAGGAGAGACAAAGACAGGGGCTAAGTGAAGTAAAGAAAGAGAAAATGAGCTGATATCAATGGCAAGAAAGATTCAACAACAGCTTAGGTGGAGAAAAGGGTCATACAGATGAGGGAAGACTAGAGACAGATTACTCTGACTTAAGTTGTGAATAGACTGAGTTTCACCCAAAAGGCTGTTCAAGTTCCCACTTCAAAAACAATACCTGAATGTCTTTTACTTAACCTCCTGTCTTCAGTTTTTCTTTCTTTCTTTCTTCTGCCCTTTTTTCTTCCTTCCTTCCATCCTTCCTCTCCTTCTTCTTTTATCTTTACTTTGTAATTTTCCTTTTTATGCTTTCCTTTTCTCTTTTTTCCTTTGTGGCATCATCCTTCTTTCCAGCAGAGATTTTGAAACAAATTCTTACTACAGATTTTAAATACAACTAGGATTAAGAGAAGCAACGAGAAAGAAAATAAAATGCATTGGACAACACATGTGGCTTCTCTAAAGATGGCTTTCAAAAGTCTAGTTTTTACTAATCCTGTGCACTAATCACTCACCTCAGTGCTTGATGATACCATGGTTATGCCTTTTACCATGATAAGTGAGTCTCTGTTGAAAATGTGATGAGACACTCACACTCACTTAAA